TGTCTGTGAAAGTTTTTTTTTGTCTGTGAACATCGATTCACAGACAATGTTTTGCACAAACAAAATATTGTATGTGAACCGGATTCACAGACAAAAAAAAACTTCACAAACATGGTGTGTATAAGGTGTGTACAAGGGCGTGTACATAAAAAATGGTTGTTTATTCATTCACTGGTTTGTTGAGCCGAAGTATGAGAGCGTTTGGCGTGGGCGATTTCACTTTTGAGTCGAGACCAACCAAACATGTGCCCAAATGTCATGTTGTTAAAATTTATTGTCACATTATATGTAACCGAAAAATCAACATTAGACCTTGCCTGGACTTTTGTTAATACGAAGTACTCCGTATTAAACATCCATTCTAAAAAATTGGCATAACATCAGTACCAAATGAGCATACATAACTTACGAAGTGCACATTGATATGAAAATCGTAAGGTTTATTAGTTGAACATCACGACATTTTAATTGAGCATCTAGCCTCCGTTATTGAGATGAAATTCACGGTTTCTAGTAAATGAGCATTAATGAACATTTAATGAGCATCATACCAATTCTGTTGTTGAGTATTATGAGTCTAATATTGAGAATCGTGATCTCTGCTTCATAACTTTTAATTCACTTTTTTTGTTATTTTTTCTTTTATAAAATCTTATTAAATTATATTTACAATCAACTCCTATGAATTTCAATATGTGAATTAATGTAAAATAGTACTTTAAAAAAATGTATTGATATGACATTTAGAAAATGAGCATAAGATCACTACGAGATAAGCATGCGTAACTCACAAAATGAGTATTGATATGAAAATCATAAGTTTTTTAGTTGAACTTCAAGATATTTTTATTGAGTATCAAACATCCTCTATTGAGTATTGAAAACATGCAATTGAGTATCATGGTTTGTGTTCATATATCTATAATCAACTCCTGCATTAATCTAAAAAATAAACCGAATCATTTAATAGTATTTTATATTATACATTTTAATAATAATTGAATATAACATTAAAGTAGAAGATTGCTAAAAAAAAAAAAAAAAAAGAGCAAACAAAAAAAAAACAAAAAAGGGAGATTAAACAAAAGAAAAGAAAAGAAAAGAGAACATGAACGTGAAAGCTGGGAATAAGGGAATTTACATGGAAAATTCAAAGGTAACTAAAACTAGCATCAAACACGAGCAGATCAGATCTCAAGAACGGAAGGAGCAATGAAAAGAAAACCGGGAATCAAGAAGACCTATAACGCTTTGACGAAGCTCTTGCTCCGCTCCATGGAAATGTCATCGACCTATTACTTATGCTTAAACTTGCTATTAATTTTTAAAGAACCATATAATAATGAAATTAAATGATTTTGGGAACGAAGTAAAATGTAAAATATTTACTCCGTATTTTAAAAATAATGTTGCGGGATATTTATTAATATTGGTGAAATTCTAATTGAAGCAATGTGTTTGTTGAGTTATCAAAATAGACAGTAATTTACAAAATAGAGAGCAAATACAAAAAGGGGGAAATAATTATTTTCAATCAATTCAGCTGAATAAAATATTAACTTTACTTATTTTATCTATTACGTTATTCAGTACACGAAATCAAATGTAACGCGTTCGGTAAAAAATTGATTGATAATACATACTTCATCCGTCTCATTAAGATTGTCTCATTTTATCTTTTTGCGAAATTCTACTAAAATTGTCTCATACCAAGTTTGGTAATATATGTGAAGTCTAAATTATTCTTACTTTATTCTTTCTTTATCAATCACATAAACTCACTTTTTTTAATAACCATGTTATCCCTCTTATCCCAATATTAGTGTGACAAAGGTAGTATACTCTTGATAGGAAAAACGGGGTCACTCATAATGTTGGACTATGGGATCGACCAAATGGCAATGTCAGAAGATTTTTATATTGGATGATCATACTTTGAAAGTCAAATATTGTGGATTTGTGATAATGCAATAAAAAATAATCTTATTTTAAGAATTTAGAACATTTTGTAATTTAGTTTTTACTTACTCCTATAATATACGGAGTACATATTATGTGAAACTTTATGGAGATAATTTCAGTCATATACTCAAGACCCTCTCCGCTCACCTCCCCGAGTAAAATCATAAAATCATACTCCCTCCGTCCCTAAATTTACTTCCAACTTTCCCTTTTCGTCTGTCCCAAAAAAACTTCATTTTCTCTTTTTGGCAAAAAAATTGTGGTTTACAGCATTTCTCTCCTCTGCACAACTCTCCACCACACGATTCTCACTTTCTTAATCACCGTGTCATTTTAACTTGGAAGAACATTTAGGGACGGAGGTAGTACGATCGACTGTCTATATAGAAAAAGAGATCGAGTTTGATCCATTTGAAGTCGGGCCGGTTGAAGAAACCGATGAGCCCGGCCCATCACATCTATCCATGATATCAATTCAATCATGATTACAACATAAAGGTTGACCCATATGGGACTCGATGCACATGCATGGTTGCAAATATTAAGACTACACGTTGCCTGTTTTCTAAACACGGATGCTGTTTATAAGATCAAAATTTAAGAAATCTCCTCTACATAACAATATTCTATAAATTGCAGGAAATGTTAACCTTACAAGTTTTATGCTTTACTATGGGGCTTTTCGTTGTTAACCTATCAACCATTTTAGCAGATTTGACTATGTTTTAGTTTTTTCACTAGATTAAACACCTATTTGAGGCGTTTGGTAAATTACGTTTACATTACTTTTGTCTCAAACATTTAAGTTCAAAATGCTAATAATCACAACGTTTAGGAATCGAGAGATCATTTTATAACATAGTTTTTCAATTCTACGCACACAAGTCTCTTAGGAATCTCCTCCTCAGATTATAACTTAGCTCACCGGGCATTCTTTCATAATCCCCTCTCTTATCTTATCGCTTGCTAGATTTCTCGGTACTTATATCGCTCACTCTTATGTAAGAAATTCTTACGCCAGATTTTGAAATGTGGACTTGTATTTTTCATAAACCCACCGTATTTGTCTATATTATCTTCATAGTGATAAAGAGCTGGTCTCGCCGTGCATTTTCTTTAAACCTAAAAATACGTTCGCTCTATCCTTCCACGGGTAGAGAACCTATCATGATTATGCCTATTCTGTCGGGCTCTCTAATCAAGAAGTTGTCATTCTTTCATTATCAATACCTCTTCATCTCTACTTTTTAACCTCCTTTTTAAGTTAGGTAATCCTCGAGAAGTTTGTCGCGACGTAAATAGCGAGATTTACACAATGGCTCTCTCATTCTTAATATTCTTCGTATTGTAGAAAGAAATTGTCCTAACCAGCAGTAAAAACATTTAGAATCGGAATTGTAAAATAGGAGTGTTGTGTTTCTATTTTCAAAGTAATCACAGCAGAACTTAGAAAAATATTGTCATGTTTAAAGTTTGGTAATGTCAAAAAACATTTCAGTAATTACTCATATTTAGGAAATAAAAGCATAATACTCGTTTGTCAAACATATTCATTCGTACTTCTGGAGTCTTCTTTCCCTATTGCAAATGAAGACGCCGCTCTCAAACTATTATTCATTTGGGTTGCTTTAACCCTGCTGCTCATTTTTTTCTGAATTTAGAGACCGTTTGACAACCCTCATTTTCGGCTTATCAGGCTTATCAGCCAATTTTTTTACCAAACACATAAACTTTGCTTTCGCGCGCTGAATTGTGTAATAAGCCGAAAAAGTAAGGGTTGAGTTACTTTTCTGGCTGTATTGGTTGAAGTTACTGTAGATGGTCATTTTAGCTATCTTTACATATAATTTTTTCTTTATTTTATTAATAAAATATATTTTAAAAATATTTTTTCTTGTATCAGCAGAATCAGCCAATGCAGCCACTTCAGCCAGAACTTCATAAATTTCAGCAGAATCAGCCAAAACTGCCCATTTTCGTGCTACCAAACGGGCTCTTAATCTAACTCTCGGGCTCCGTTTGGAAACACTGAAATTGGCACAATCGGTCGATTCTGTTGAAATTTATAAAGTTCTGATTGAAGTGACTGAATATGTTGATTATGTTGAAGTATGAAAAAAATATTTAAAACATATTTTATTAACAAATTAAAGAAAAAAATATATGAACAAATAGCTCAAATAACCTTCTAGAGTAACTTCAGTCAACCCAGCCGGAAATGTAACTTCAAGCTTACTTCTTTCTGTTATGTAGTATACACAACTCAAAGCACAAAATTAAAGATAATGTATTTGGTAAAAGAATTGGCTGATAAGATTGATAAGCCAAAAAAACAAGATCACTAAATGGGCTCTCAATGTTAATTATTCTTAAAAATTACTCTCTGCTTCCCTAATAACTTTGCCAAGTTTGACCGGCACGTAGATTAATAAAGTAAAAACTGTGTGGTTGAGGTTTGTGAAGAGGAGAGAGAATTAACTGAAACCACAAATTCTTTGCTTAAAAGGGAAAATCGTAAAGTTAGTGGAATATTCAAAAAGGAAAATTTACAAAGTTATAAGGGACGGATGAATGAAGTATTAGGTAAACTTGATTTGTAATCTCCAAATTAAGTTTCTAAGTTATTGTTTGCAAAAAACACTAAAACTCTAAAAGTAGAACCAAAAAATAAAAACGTTTTTTTAACTTTTTACTTTAAAAAATTGATACGAAGTATTTCTCCAAAATTATTCCAAAAAATCATTTTTTATAAAGTAGAAGAACCACAAAAACTTCTTAAAGCCTCTTTTAAAGTCAATTGAAGAGCAAGGGTCTACTTCTTTTCCGTATGAAATGCTTCTTGATTCCCAGCTTACCGGAGAATGCATAGTTTTACGGAGTAACCTGGACTTTTAAAATTAAATAACCCTCCACTCGACCAGAAAAAGACTTGGATCACAACTCATACAGTATTGTCAGTGATAGAAACCACTAAAAGATAGAGTACAGCTCCCTCTTATAAGGCACTCACTGGTATATAGCTGCCCACGTGGCACTCTACCGGCCACTGCTCATATTCTCTGTATTAATGCATACTTGTCCATACCTTCTTTGGCAACTCTGTATTTCTAAAGATTTCATTACATTTTCCAATCATATTTCCGCCTACTATTATGTACATCGGTTCTTGAATGTTTGGATCTTTGTTTCCTTTAATGGGTATACTCTTCTTTTATGGTAATCATTCTTCTTGCTTCTACTATTTCTAAAGCTTGTTTGGCTAAATATTGTGAGTTGGGGGGAAAAGTTGGAATGTGAACTGATGTAATGTAGCTCTACATATCAGGCAGCACAAGGGGGTTTCCCCTCTTTTGGTCAACTTTCTTGAATACAGAAATTCTGGGTTTGGAACTAGATTTAAGATTTAACCTATTTGTAGCCACCATAGATAGAGTTGCTAAAGTCTGTCTTTTTGCAAATTTCCATCCGAGGCTAATGGGTTTGAGGTTGATCTGAACTTAGAATCCAACTTTTCCATCTAGCATTACGGAGTATGTTTTTAATCTGGGACTTATTTCATGGAAAATGGAAAAATACTAATTAAGACCTGAAGTTCGTTAAAAGGGTTAGTTGTAGGCTCGTAGCATTTCTCCATATGCACTAACTTGCATAGATATTCTAACCTTAAGTATGTTTATTGCAGATAAGATCTGGTGTTTTTCCAAATTACATGTGGTACGGATGAAAAATTAGCCCTAAAGGCTAAGATCTGAAGGACATATTATTCCTTCTTCTGTAAGTTCTAACTCTGTTGTAATACTTCTTCGGATTCTTCTTGCCCGTTAGAACCTTCCAATCACTTAACCTTCATGGCTTATTTCGTAATTGATATTTCGCTGAGATTGCTAAGTTTGTGATTTTTTTTGGAAACAATGCAATTAGCAAATCCAGTGTTCTGTTGATAAGCATAAAAACTAGATAAATCTATCAGACAGGGCCTTATCTCTAAAGGCTAGTGGGGGTGTGGGGATATTCAAATGTGGATGGATTTGGGGGACTTACCCTGGCCCTGACCCACCCCAAGTTCTGGATGTTTTCTACATGAATTCTTTTTAGATACTCCCTATTACTTAAGTTTATTTTTTTCTATGGGATATTTCATTGAAAAGACAGCAATGGGTTGAACAAGTATGTGTTAAACATGCCTCTACCTAAAAATATGCACTTCTGTAGTCAAATTTTATAAAGAAAGCCTTTTTGTTGCAAAATATGACTTCAGAAGTGCATTATTTCATACATGAGACAATCACAACCATTTTAGCATTAAAAATTTAAAAGGGATTTCAAGTTTCCAACTTGTTTTTTCAGGTTTTTCCTTGTCTGTTTTGTTTGTGCGCAATTGTGATGAAGAAGGTTAGCAATGACACGGATCTAAAGCTTGCTTTGGGATACTCCAAACGCCCTGGAAAGACGAAAAAGAATGATTCAGGTGCAGGTGTAAATGCAAGCTCGGGGTTTCACTTATTCACATCCCCTGATCCGTTATCTGAATTAGTTTGGTCTCCTCAAAAGGGCGTGAGCCTGAAGTGTGCTGATACCAGCATAGCCAATAACAAGCCCTTTCTTGTATGGAATGTGGTGCCTAGCAGTAATGACCTTTCTGCCCCTTCAGAAATTGTAAGATTCAGCAGTGTTTATGATGAAATCGCAAGCGATGAAGGTAAAATTTCTGAGGGATGTATATGAAATTTTTAACACAATGTAATTTGATCTGATATTTATGGTCCCAAAATTCTGTCATTCTTCTTGTAAAGACATGTACTGATTGAAGTTTATAATATATGGTAGGAAAAGGTTATAGAATGGAAAAATCTAAGCCTGCCGGTACAACTGGTGTTGAAGAGAAGGATCAGATGATGACAGGAAAGGAGGAAGATGGTGAAAATCATGCTGGTGTGTAAATTAAAATTTCATTGATGCCTAATGCTTTTTGAACATTGGGAAGTCACATATTGAAAGAACCGTTTCCAACTTCACTCAAAATAGTAGAAAAAGGAGGTCTACCCATATTTTATAGGGGATTATTGCAAACAAGTGTAAAACATGTGTCATAAGTCAAAAGAGGACTATCCTTTGTTCTGTCCTAAAAATATGAGTTACTTCTTTCATAATTCTTCTTAATGAGTCAACTAATCCTATTGTTCAGAAAAAACTGCGATTTTTTGTAGGAAGCTTATGTTTTAGTCCTATTTGTTGAATTTTTTCTCATGGCAAACCTAAACATGCATCTATATGTTTTGTAGGAAGGAATGTGTTATGTTTTAGTTTTATTTGTTTTAGTCTTATTCAGACTTATAAGTTGAATTCTGCCATTTTTCTGATAATTTAAACATGCCTCTTTACGAGTAATAGTAAAATTGCAGGGAGAAAAAGTAGCATTGAAACACATACCATGAACGACAAAACACCATTAATTCAGGAATAAAACTGTTTATTCATATTTTAGGAATCACCACCTCTTTTAGTCGCATTTCTAATAATTTTTAACTTGAATAATATGCAATAAACATATGCTTTAAACCATTTATCTTTTCAAGCACATCAGGTTTTGACAAAATTTATAATTGCTTGGTAAAACTCACTATAGTGACCAGACACATCTATAGTGACTTACACTTTATATCATACATTACGATATCAAATCTTTATTCGCCTCATTTCATACAAACCATTTTTCATTCAAAGTTCAGTTCTTTATAACAACAATACCAAACTGCAGGTGGTGAAGAGAACCAAAATGCAGTATATCGGCTTGAAATGGTGGGTCCCACATGTAACCCAGCAGTGACTAAGTCGGTGCCTACAAGGGGCAGTGAAGTAGCTGCAAGCAGTTGCAGCAGAAATGAAGACAATGCCAGTTACCCAATATCTTCTGATTTACCCCTTCAGAAAACGCCCTTAAAAGAACTTCAACCTTCAAGAAGTTCTGAACCTATTATAACTCCATTGCCTGAATCAACCCTGAAACAGATTGAACGAACGGCTGAAAATGATGTGCAAAACTCAACCATAAAAGAAGGAAGTAAGCTTAAAAGAAACAATTCTATGCCCATTCAAGCGTATTCCACACAAATAAGAACTTCTTCGTCTTGTTCACATAAAAGGAAGGGAAAAAGTAAAGCACTTTCAGATGGTGATGAGGAAGAAGACACTAGCCACGAGAGTGTGGAAAGTTGCAACGGTACGAGGGTGTCTCTTGGCAGGAACAAAAGAATGAAAAAACAAACGGAAATAGAATCTTCTGATGTCACCCCAAAAGCTGGTGGAAACAGCTCTTTCATGACTTGGATTTCGAGCATGGTGAATGGCTTCTCAAATCCAAACCAAGAAGATGAAGAACAAGAAGAAGAAGAAGAAGATGCAGAACAAGAGGAAGTTCCTTCTCTTGCCCTTGCTCTCACTCGTTCTACCCTCAACCATGTGGGGATTAATTATGCAACAGCCATTGACAAAAACATAGAGTTCCAAGCCAAGTTTCATTCTCTTTATAGTTCACCGGAAAAAAGAGCCTCAAAAGACGAACTTTCTGCTGGAGAATCCAAGGATGTTTTCTTAGATGACAAGATGGTTATTGAGGTCTCTCCATTAACATGCCACCGGGAGGAAAATTGTGATGATAAAATCATCAACACAACAGACATGGAGGAAGAAGCAGGGGCTTCTTCTCCTAAATCCCCAATAATGTCCCAGAATTGTAAATCAAATTCCCCTGAAAACAAAAAGAAAGCAGGAGGCAGCTCTTCCGGTTCAATGTGCATGCTAAAAACCGGAAACAATGGAGAGAGCAGCAGTCCCAGTCACCATTCCGAAAACAAAGCAACAAAAAACACATCGGATATAAGTTCCCTTCAAAGCTTCTGGATTACCCGTTTCTCTGTCCGTGACCCAAACACGGCCCTAAACTTACCCGAATGCAGAGAAAATAAAGAGGAGACAGCTAATTGTGCTAAGCCTGACCTTGATGTTCTAACATCTGAACAAGCTGTCTGTAATAACAAAGATACTGACTTAAAGGGGACTTTTCCAGAAGATCCGGATTGTGATATGTTACTGGACATTCCGCGTAATAATACTCTAGCAGACGATGCTTCCATTGCATTCAAAGATGATAATAAATCCATACATAAATTAAACCCCATTACACCTTCCCAAAAACTGAAAAGCTCAGAGGCAATGACATCATTGTTTGCAAGGAGATTGGATGCCTTTAAACATATCATACCTCCAGATTCAAGAAATGAAGCAACTTGCATGACAAAAGCCATCTGTTTGTTCTGTGGAAGAACAGGGCATGACTTACATAGCTGTTTGGAAGCAGATGAGATTGAACAGGAGGATCTTTTGAGAAATAATATGTGTTCATATGAATGGGCAGCTGAAGGTTCTCATTCTTTTTGCATTAGATGTTTTAAGCTTGATCACTGGGCTGTTACATGTCCAATGGCATCTTCAGGAGGAGGAGGGCAATTTTGGGGGAAACAAGGAAATTATTGTTCTAATGGCTCTAACTTTGTGGGAAAGGAGGAAGGGTGTTCCAAAGTTATGGTGAATCACATAGGGGGAGGATGGAAAGAGAAATCTAGATATTTCACTGATGCTAATAGCCTGGTTCATAATCCGAAGTCAAGTGTGCCAAATGGAGCTTTTGATGCCATTAGGAGGTTACGTGTGTCCCGTGGAGATATCCTCAAGTAAGCATTTAAAGAACCTGTTGGGTTGGTTTATGCTTTATGCACTTTTCTGAGATGGTTTTTTGTCATAAGTTCAAAAAGTAATTTCATCTTCCTCCAGAATGCCCAAATCTGGTGTTTTCTTAAATAAGCTCAAAGAAATGCTATTTTAAAGATTTACAAGGATGTCCTTTTATTTCTCTCCACGCACTTCAAAGGTAAAGTACTGTTCTTCAGATAGAAAGCGCTTTATCTTCGAAACTATGTCATCACAAGTTTCAAGCGCACTTAAGGAATGCTGTAATTTTCCATTAGTAATAGTGTTTTCACAGATCACATTTTGCCCTTCTCTCTTCTTTGGGTACATTCAAAAAATAACCTATTCTCCTTTTAAACCACAGTCTAGCAAGGGTTATTTGGCTAAAATGCATAGACATGCAAAGCTTTTGAAAGGGACAGCGTTTGTTAAAACCAACTTCAGCCAAAACGACACGAAAATTTGTATCTACCTGTGTTTGTTATGTATGCAAGGATTGATTAACTACCGTTGGGTTTCTTCAGATGGCTAAACTCCAATGCCTCATTGTCCCACTTGGATGGTTTTTTCTTGCGTCTAAGATTGGGAAGGTGGGAACAAGGCGGGTTAGGAGGAACAGGCTACTACATAGCTCGTATAGCTGGTATATATTTTTACCCTTCACAGATTCTCTACATTGGTTGTTAATGGGATTATGGGATAAGCATCCCTTAATTTCTTGGCTAATATCAACTGTTCAATAGTCAATACCAATAATTTTTGCATGTATTGTAAATAACAGAGTCCCAAAAAGACCATTCAACAAAAGATTCAAAGTGCATCTCAGTAAGTTTTTGTGGCATTGTTTGCTCCATCGGAAGCCAGTACGTCTCAAACCACGATTTTCTCGAGGTACACATTTTATTTCTATTTACAATCTAAAATAGTGACTTTTGTGGGGTGTACTGGACACATTTATCACTCCTTGGACGAATAGAAACGCGGAACCATTCAAACCTTCAATGAAATCAATGGAAACTCACTTCGCAGGATGAACTTATGACCTGGTGGTGCAAGACTTCAGAGACTGGAGGCAAGATTCCATCTGAAGATGAGCTGCGGATCAAAGTTGAAGAGAGGTTGAAGTTAGGAATTTGAAATCCAACACCAAAAAAACAAAATGCAAACCTGCAAGGGGTTGCTTAATTGATTGCCATGAAGAGACATAATATATTGATCATGATATGTTCCATTTCCAGTTACAGAACTGATTTTGTACTCATTCATCATACATACAAATGTGTATTCTTTTTTGTGTTGAAGGTGACAAAATTATTCAGTAATCTTTGACATTATGAATGAAGAACATACAAACAAATTAGCAAATCATTCTGAGTAATGCAAACTAATTCCTGAACAACTTCATTTGAGCAAGGGTCTTCAATATTTCCAGTTGATAATAAATTTAGCACGGGGTATCATATTTTAATACTACATACGGAAAATGTGTATTAATTGTTGTTATCTTCGACATTGTGATGACTGAGCATACAAATATTTAGCAAATAAGTATAGGTAATAGTGCTTGTAGTTAGCAAGAATCTTCAGAGCTTTTCAGTAAACTTGTGTGGTGTTGTTTTAGGATGTTTTTACTTGGACAATTTTCATTCCCAACCAACAAATTTAAATATCCCTAGTTGTCTAAAGTATGTGGAGTGATCTTTGACACTGACAATAAAATGACGAAAATATAAATATTAAGCAAATAGTTCTGCAAAATACTTACGTAATTCATAGTAGTAGTAGTAAATTCTGAAGTTCATTTCAGAAAGAGCGTTCCACTTTTTCAAGCAGAAATAACTAAGAATCATACTCAAATCCTGCAAGAATCTTCACACATTCTCAAGTAGTAACAAATTCACTGTATTTTTTCATACATTGTGTGAGATTTTTAGTCTCTTAGTGAAGAAGTGAATGTGGTGTATGTTTTTCCATCCCTACAAATAAACAGCAGCTCATTTTGACAATTCATTTCAGCACATTAAAGAATATCTTCACCGTATTGTGGTTAAAGAACATCAAACTAATGGAAACTAACAGCATTCTTTAAGTTGAAACATCTAGGAAACATCAACGGGAATGCAACTCTTTTCATTTCAGCACATAAATTGAAACATCAATACCAAAAGCTACTACCACCATCGATCAAAGGTGTCAACGAAAACCCAAATCATAGCAAAAACTATCAAATTATCACAAAACCCAAAATTTACAAATCCTACCCGAGAGTGCTGAGTTAACCAATCAGGCAACTAACTTCATTTCTTAGCCTTTTTGGCAGGGGGCTTGATACTCTTGGCCTTCTTACCAGGCGTCTTCTTTAACTCCTTCTTAACCGGCGTCTTCTTTAACTTAGATACGGCTGCCTTCTTAACAGGAGTCTTCAACTTAGATACAACCGCCTTCTTCACCAATTTTTTCTTCAGTGCGGCGGGCTTGAACGAGGTTTTTTTAACAGGAGTTGAAACCTTTGTCTTCTTTGCAGCCTTTGGCTTTTCAGCGGCAGTGGTCGTCTTCCTCTTCTGTGGTACTGCGGGTTTTGTGGCTTCGGGCTTGTCAGCCTCGGCGGCAGGCGTAGCCTTCTTCTTCGATGCTACTGCAGGTTTTAAAGCCTTGGGCTTACCAGCCTCAGCGGCGGCGGATTTTGGACGGGTAAAAAGCTTATAGGACCTCTTCACCATCATAATCTTTTTAGAGGCGAGCAGTTCTTTAATTCTGGCAGCCAAGAGCGTCTTAAATAAGGCGGGCGGGGGCAAATCCTTATGCTCCCCAATGAACTTCGCAATGGCCAGCTGGCTCGATCCGTTCCTCTCCTTCAACGTACTAATTGCCTCAATAATCAACTAGGTTTCAAACAAATGCAGCCATTAAGATCATTTAAACACAAATTCAATGATTGTTCATCGAAGACAAAATACAGAATTAAAAAAACCTACATCAGAATAGCTTGGATTGCGAATTTTCTTAATGCCAGCATCTTTAACGGCCTTGTTAGTAGCGGCTGATTTCCTGGCCTTGACGGTGGCGGAAGCTTTCCCGACCTTACCAGTGGCGGCTAATTTCCTGGCCTTAACGGTGGCAGAAGCTTTCCGGACCTTGCCAGTGGTGGCTGAATTCCTGGCCTTAACGGTGGCGGCTGATTTCCTGGCCTTGACGGTGGCGGAAGCTTTCCCGACCTTCCCAGTGGCGGCTAATTTCCTGGCCTTAACGGTGGCGGAAGCTTTCGGGACCTTGCCAGTAGCGGCTGATTTCCTGGCCTTAACGGTGGCGGAAGCTTTCCCGGCCTTGCCGGCGGCTGCCGATTTACCGGCCATGAGTAATGAGTTCGTTATAACAGTATAAATTCTTGAAGACGAATTAACAGCAGGAAATTTTAAAAGATTGTTAATGAGTAATTGAAGAAGCGCTGAATTTATAGGATATACACTGAAGGCGAAAACAAATGCGATAGGGGGAAATGAGGAGGCGCGGATTGCAAGTTTCTGGAGAACAGTTTAAACTGTAGTCGTCGGATTAAAACTTTATCAACGGACGTGGTAGCATGGTACTTGATGGCAAGGATCGAGAGCTAGAAAGAATTAAAAGCCCGTTTAGTATGTTAAAATCGGCAGAATCTTAAATGGCCTAATTGATTTACTCACGATTTATGGAAAAAAATTAAAATATATTTTATTAATAAAATAAAGAATTTTTTATGTAAAAATAGTTTAAATGACTTCTATAATAACTTCAACTGATGCAGTTAGAAATCAAAAGTTATCTATTTGGTGAAAAAATTGATTGATAAACCTAATAATATGAAAAATGGTTATTGATGTTATCAAATGGACTCTTAGAATGTTTTTACTTGGACTGTAATTTGCTGGTCTGGTCTGGTCTGAACCGGTTTGGTCTGGTCTGGTCTGGTTCATTTGTATTTTTATAACTATCCAAGTCTGGTCTGAATTAGTCTAGTCTGACCTGATCTGGGTGGTCTGGGACGAATTATAATCCAAGTAAAAACATTCTTAAATTTCTTTTTACTTTTGTGAAGTGTAGATTGTTGAAGTACGGGCGGAATCCGGAAACTCCAATCATCCAATGGGTTGTCCCTTTTAAAACAAAATTTGCGGCCCATTTAATTATCTATCTTATCCATAACATTTTTACGAAGAGTAACTTTTATAGCCCATATCTTATTTACTAATAACATTCTTTATTAGTTGCGATTTATTCCTTTTTTAGATGTTTTTATTATTTTCCCTCTTTTCCCTTTTTAATAAAACATCTCAAAAAGTATTGATGTTATCCATTAACGGTCCTTTAACGTTAATGACAAATATTTTTAAAAAATTAATGATGAACGCAATATAAAATCTGTAGGACAAAAAAGGACCGTTAATGATGCCCTACCTTTTCATTTATTCTACTATTTTATTCTTAAAACCAGCGAAATACATAAAGGGGCGGTTAATAAAAAACGAAGACTTTTTGTAATACAAACTTATTTTTGTGTACAACAACTATAACAACTAAGTGCACTTGACGGGATGAGCAAAACAATGAATATATTGTGTATGAATTCTCATTATCAATAAAAGTATTCAATCCATTAAACATGCGACACATATTAGAAGTCTAACCAAATCACCGACCTCAACTCTATATAACGATAATTCATGCTTAGCAAAAAATAATAATCAATGTCACTTTTCAAAAGAAGTTTGGTGATGGGAACAATATGTTTGTAATATGTGTATTATCCAAAGAACATTCATTTAAAATTATTTCGAAGTTTGTTTTGTTTGTAACCACGGGTTGTGATGTATGATAATGATAGTATCATATTGGCAGAGACACCTAATTAAAATTCACATTTGTGTTACAATGAGGCTGCGATTAATCTCATGATGCATGGTTGTGTGGTCCAAGTGTTAACTTTTTGCCTTGTATGGTTGTTGGAAAATGTACAAAGCATTTTTCAATTAAAATGATTTTCAAAAACAATGATAGGTGATGAATGATATCCCTTCCACTGACACATAAATTATGGCTGAAGAAATTATGTTTTTCAATAACGGTTTTGTAATTCCTTATAATCATTTTTGTTAATGAAGTTGTTAGTACCCAATTTTGATAGATTTTGATGATGTCACTATACATAACATTAGCACATTGTGTCTTATTTATTTACATATAAGTGTTCAAAAGTGACAAAATAAATGTACAATTTTTGAGACTAATAAAATTATGCTCGGAAGTTAAAATGCAATAAGGTAATTTTTATTTACCTTAAATAGGATATTTAAATCCTACCAGTATAATTTTATTTGTACACAAAAATTTTAGTCACAAAATTAAGATACGAAATGCCCTATCCTTTGCATTATTGAAGACAAAATTGACAAACATTAAATGCGAACAACGTACACTGTAATACAGCATGGGACGCCTTTTTGGAGTGAAGCTGCAGCGGCTGAAGATGCACCCATGCCGCGGCCTAATTATTCAAGACAAGGAAACAAAAGCATTAAAAGCTCCTGCACAAGAAGACGAATGTACAATTCGTCCTTGTCAGACCTTCAACGCACGAGATTAATCTATCCTAACCAACGGACGAGATTGATCAACAGGAGAGCCTATAAATATAGGCTGAAACGAAAGTTTCTAACCAAGCTTTGAGCATCCAAAGTAGAGAAAATTTCGAAGTTACAAGTATTCATTGATAAATCCTAGAAGTTTAGTTCCTAGTTGGAGGTTAGAACTTTCTTGAAACAAATCACAAATTGTTTTAAACACTTAGGAGAACAGTTGTTCGGATCCTATAGTTTGGTTAGATAGATAGAGTACATTTTGATCCTCACTGGATCATTTGAGAAAAGTATAAGGACTGAGTAACTTTGAGTGGTGTTATACTCATTGTGAAAAACCTTCCATCTAGGTCTAAGTGTTGTAAAGGCTAGATTGGCACTAAGTGTTTTGGGCTTAATACTTTAGTAGAAATCCATCTGAAAGAGGGTGGGACTGGACGTAGGAGGATTACACCACCTCTGAACCAGGATATACTGTGTGTTGATTTACTTTCAGTTAACAAAGCACACACCAAACACTTCTCACAAAAGATTGTAGTTTGTCAGCAGCATCCTAAGCAGTAGTCTTAATTGACCCTACTGCTTATCCTACTGCTTAATAGCTCACTTTCTTTGAGACAACATTTCCACAAGAGTCTTGCACTATCACCACTAAAAGGTCTGTTCCATCAGATCTCAGAAAATCATCTTAAAGTATAGCAGTTGCCTCAGCAGTCCCCTAGTGACTACCCAACTGCTGAGCCCACTGCTCATACAAAAGTATTTCCTTTGAACATCTCAATTTCACCAGACCTTCACAACTCTATCACCAAGGAGTCTGTTCAAACTAAACTCTGAAACTCAAACTGTAACCCAGCAGGTGCCTCAGCAGTTTCCTCATTACCACCCAACTGCCGAGACCACTGCTCCAGTAAAACTCCCAGTTACTTGTACTAAAGCACATCTTCAGAAAACCCTCATCACCCTGAGCAATATTCTATAATCAATCTTCCCATACCTTCACTTTCACTTAAGTAGGTACCTCAGCAGTTCCCTGGTAACTACCCAACTGCTGAGACCATTGCTCTCATTAAGATTGATTATCAATCCATATCATTACATCATCAGAAAGCTCCTTTCATCCTGAGAAAGATTCTGCTTGCACTTTCACCATACACTCAGTGTTTCACTAGCAGTTGTCTCAGCAGTTCCCTGCCCTCCAGTCAACTGCCAAGACAACTGTTCACTATTTAAAGTCCAAATATCACCCAAGTCAGAAAAGTGTTATACATTAAACATCTAGAGGTTAAAGACTTCCGTTGTGCATCTATAAATCTCTCAAAAGATTTTAGATCAACTCATCTAGAAGGGAAAAGTTCTTAAAGTTAAAAAAGCTTTAAAAGTCTATTCACCCCCCTCTAGACTTTTACCTCTATCCGGGACCATCAGAAATATGTGGCACAGATGAACGTACAATGGTGCAATCAATCTTGATCGATTAAGTATTTGTTTAATGAGATCTCTACCAGTGCAGATCTTTAGGATATGAATGATGTTGTTGATGAGATGAAGATATAATGTGATTTTAGATCCACCTTTGCATGTGACGCTTCATTTCACATTTTCAGTTTTTAAATTTCCCCAAAATTTTACGTAAACATGATACGTTTTTCAAATTCTAAGTTTATAACCCTATTGGTCTATAAAAATCTACCCATTGAGCACCTTAGTTTCCACGTCCCAAAGAGAGTCTTTCATCTTTTCTAATTATGACTAATTGATAAAGTTTTTTTAATATTCCAAACGGTTGAATCTCCAATTCCAAAGGCCCCCCTCGCTCTGACCCGATAAGGCACTTGGGAGGTTGTAAGTCACAGTGACACAGTTAACCGAATGATGGTAGGTAGACCTTGTACTTGTGCGAAGCAGAGGTCCAACTCAACATACAAGAGTTTGTAACCTCCACATGACCAACTAAGGTACCCGTGCGGGTCATAAAGTTCTTTTTAAAGTGTCGTGGATAACATGTTTTAGCTTGTTTGAACACAATCAACTACTAAGGACTCGCCTCCAAGAAATATTACATTTGCTATTCGATAGATCTATTATGTCCTCCAAGAAATGGAGAGTTATACTCCCTCCGTTCTTCAGAAAAAATTACCATTTTCTTTTGTTGGAAGTTCCAAATTAAAATTTCCATTTCCATTTTGACAAGTTTGATTATACGAAAGTTTCCAAAATAGGAGTAAACAAGTTTTGGAATTCCAAAATAGGACTGCTATGTTTTTCTTTCAGAAACAAGAGTAACATGGTGGTACTTACTGCCATCTTGGAGTCATTATTGTCAAAATAGTTACAGTATTAGGCATTAACATGACAATATTTGCTACCATTAATGCGAGTATTTTTCAATCATAGCAGTAACAACTCATATTTCAGGGAGAAAACCACAACAGTCTTATTTTGGAATTCCAAAACCAATTTACTCCTACATAGGGAAATTTCCCTAAAATTACCCTAATACATTTATTCACTTTACCTACCTTACACTCATATTATCTCAAATGTTCTTATCCTGTCTCTCATGTCTTCATGTCTTCCATCACCCCACTGCATGTAACCTTCTTTCTAATCACCTCCATCTTCACTTTAATTTTCCTTCTACTCACTTCTATCATTGCCCTTTTCTTTTAATGGATTTCATTTGGACCGACCCATATTTCCTCATCAGATTAATGGCTCTTGAGATACTTGTAGAAAATCCTTTAATTACAGATTCAATTTGACCCTTAGGTATAAAAATAGAGTCATGATCCTTTTCAATGATACGATAAAAGACCCCAAAATAATTGACATCAAATAGGATGATAATAGATATTCTTAATTCCAACCTATTGC